GACCTAGGGAGGATTTTATTTGGGGTTTATCTTTTAACAATTCGACAGAGACACAACTTTAAAATTTGATTTAATTCGGTTTTATCGGGGGGGAATGTATTTATGTTTTGTTTTAAATATGTTGTGCGCCGCCCTGAGTCCCGTTGGGAGAAGGGCGGCATATAAATTAAATTTATTATTATTATTATTATTATTATTGAACAAGGCTTTTCCTGCATTCTTGAGAAAATATCTGCCTGGATACCTGTCCCTCTATCTGCCATTTATACTTTTGTTTCTTCATTGCCCTATTCATTGAAAGAAGTACTCAGCCTGGAGAGAATTGTTTTGCCCTATCAAAACATAAGTTATTGACTGAAATTATATCATAACATTATACTAATCTGGAGCTGTCTTTCATGACAAGTGAAGAAATTTGCTTAAAACGGGCTGCTCTGCTTAGGACTGACTTGTATTTTATAAGTTGCAGGCTACTGTTCCAGAGTACTTTCTTCAAAGGATACAGAATACAGCTGTTAATTGTATTTTGCCAGATTATGTTGCATTTCTTTTAGTCAACACAGGAATCTAAATGGGTCAGCTGGGGACCGAGGGAGCCACCGAAATAACCATCAAGAGCAGATCAGGAAGGACCCTTATGCTAATCTTATGCTGCAACGGGAGAAAGATTGGGTATCCAAGATTCAAATGATGCAACTGCAAAGCACTGATCCCTATTTAGATGACTTCTACTATCAGGTTGGTGTTCTATGTATTTGAACAAGTGACTGTTCATTCTATAGCCCCTGGCTGTGCCTAATGGAAGACGCAGCCAGTAGCATCTGAAGAGTGCTTGGATAGATAAGAAAGTGACAAAAACAGATGCAATGTGTGGGGGTGGTGGAGGGGAATTGTTCTGTTCTGCTTTTATTCCTTTTCGCCTTGCAGGCCATTTATACAAAGTTTCTCCTTTGTTGTTTGGGTGGGACAGTGGATTCTCATCTTGTTCAAAAAATAGGGCAAACTCATGATGTTCAAGCTGGCTTCTAATTAACTTTTCGATGCCTTAGAACTATTTTCAGAAACTAGAAAAACTGTCTGCAGCTGAGGAGATGCATGGTGATGGTCCTAAAAAGGAACGCACTAAACTAATCACCCCACAAGTGGCAAAACTAGAGCATGCCTATAAGCCAGGTAAGTTTCTGTTGTATAGGAAAAGGCTAGTCTATAACATGTTTCCCCAAAGATAAGACCTACCCTGAAAATAAGCCCTAGCTTGATTTTTACACATGCACCCTACCCCAAAAATAAGCCCTTCTTAAGACCCCGCCTACTCCAGTGCACCTGGTTGCACGAGGTGGGGTGAGGCGCACGGTCAAAAATCAAGCTATGGCAGGGATGGGGGTGGACCTGCCCCATGTGCCCTGCACCCACTTACCTTAGGACAGTTGCAGCCATGCCTCCCACGTCCCACCACCTGCCTCACCTCACCAGCCCACTTCTTCTGCGGCCGCTTGCTATCACTTGCACGTGTCGTCCTCAGCCTCCATTTCACTGTCAGAAGCCTTCCAGAAAGGCCTCGGCAGCCAAGAAATGACCTCCGGATTGATGCACGTGGTGCCCCCTGGCCTCCGTTTCGCCATCAGAGGCCTTCTGGAAAGGCCTCTGCAGCTGAGAAACTAGGTCCAGATTGACTCGTGCAGTGCCCCCTGGCCTCAGTTTTGCTGTCCGGAAGCTCATTTCTCAGCTGCAGAGGCCTTTCCGGAAGGCCTTTGATGGCAAAACAGAGGCCGGGGACGACGCGCGCAAGTAACAGCGAGCGGCCGCAGAAGAAGTGGGCGAGCAAAGCAGGTGTCAGCATGGGAGGCCTGGCTGCAGCGGTCCTAAGGTAACCAAGTAAAACATTCCCCAAAAATAAGACCTGGTGCCTCTTTTGGAAGCAAAAAAAATATAAGACCGGGTCTTATTTTTGGGAAACACAATATATGCAGTGCGTGGGAGATAAAATACAGAAGTTCATGAATGGAATGGAGGGGGATTGAGATATCACAGCTAAGGTAATTTATTTTCAGACAGATCTGCAAGTAGAAAATTTATGCATTGGACACAGGAAAGATGTGCTTCTTACTATTTTCCTTGCTTCCTGTGTTCAGGAAAAATATTCCTCTCCTCATGGACACACATGGTGTTTAATTTTACTCCAGTGTACAATCGTTCTACAATTCTACTGCAGTAGATTTAGCATAATATTGTAGAGGCAGTAAAGGAAAGCAAGCGTATGCATACCAAGAATAGAAGGATTTTGTAGGGATAGACAGATACAAGCTGTTAGTGAAGTCAAAATGGAGCCGCCTTGTCCATGCTTTGCTTTATTTAGCTGACTTGCAGAAAGACTAGAACATTAAAAGTGCATGTGAAGATCGTAGAGTTGTCAGACTGACAGTTTTGACTCATCAGACCCATCTGCATTGTTTTTCTTCCATACTTGCAGTGCAGTTTGAGGGCTCGCTAGGGAAGCTGACCGTATCCAGTGTGAACAACCCCCGCAAAATGATAGATGCTATTGTGACTTTAAGAGGAGAGGAAGATGTAAGTTTCTCTTGTGACACTTACTTTGTCTTTGGGTGTTTTGTCTTATTATTTCATGTTTTTCCTTTCAAATATGAAAAGGGGATTTTTGAATTTTCTTCTGAGGTTGTGGGAGAGAAAATTTCTGAATAATGTTATGTCCATTTAGCTGTAATTTCTATCTCTTTCTTAGGAAACTAAGGAGAAGCAGGTTCGAGATAAAAGGCGCCAGACTCTCTTCACTATTGAAAAAGTGAGTTTGGCATTCATTCTTCATCCAGCAGCAGATGGTAACAGTAGCAGATTAATTGAAATCTGCCACCACGTTGCTTTTCGAAGATATAAATGTAATATTAGAAAATCAAAAAAAATTTCAAAAAAAAAAATGAAATCAGTTCCATAGTGCAAAACAACATGAGTACTGACTTGAATTAAGATACGATTTCAACAATAGTCTCCTTGAAGAACATCCTTCCAATAGCTTAACCATAATTTTTCATTTATTGAATCAACTTTGTTCTTACTGTGTTGTTTCTAAATAAGTGAAATGAGCTTAAACAAATAGACTAGCTTACCAAGCCAGATGCTTGCTGTTTAAATCAGAAATCTGTTTCTTATTTACTGTCAATAAAGCATGGACTTGATTTATCAGTTCAAACCCATTTTCAAATTTTGGAAGTGTTGGAATGTTAGATCGCATACCTAAAATCTGTGCGTTGCTACCTAGACCTATAGCCTCCTCCTGGATGTAGAAGACTATGAGAGACGCTACCTTTTGAGTTTGGAAGGAGACAGGTTGGCCTTGATGGAGGAGAGAAAGCAGAAAATCTGTGACATGTATGACAATCTGAGGGGAAAGGTGCCCAATCAAGAAAGGTAAGAACCTACCTGGCAGAATACCAACAATTCAATAAAGAAAATGCTGTTTTGAATTCTTTTCTAATGAAAGGAACTTATCTGTTTAGTAGAGATTCCTTGTATCAGAAAGTACAAGAACATGTAATAATTTGGGGGTTTGTTTCCCCCTTTTTCCTCCTATCTTCCACCATGCTTTACTACTATTATTTTGGGACTTATGCTTAATGCTGCTGCCATAACAATTGTAACAACTCCTCCCAGTTTGTCACTTCTCAAAAGAGAGCTGAATGTATCTTTCAAATCACTTAATTGCTAGCTCAGCTTACAATGATCAGTTAAATAAAAGCAAAAAAAAGTGACATTTGACATTAATATGCCAACACAACTCCCAGTGATAGTTTATTTGACTTTATTAGCTACCCAACTCCAATGGACTCTGGAAAGTGTACAAAACTAGAAAGAACATAAAAACATAAAAAGGTCAAATCAGATACACAGTCCAGACTAAAATCTTTTCCATACCTCTCTATTGTGTTTCAGGATGGGTTTGCATAGATCCATACATTTACCATTAAAAAATTTCATGCTGTAAATTCAAAAATTATTCCAAGATCCTGAGATCTGCTTGCTTTACTTGGAAAATATGAAGACTGTTACATGTTACATGTTTGGTTTCTGTCTAACTGATAGTTATATATCCTCTTCCATCAGACTTAGTGATGACGCTTTTGTGCAGATTATGTGTATACGTAAAGGAAAACATCTCGTTGCACGGATCCTACCTTTCTTGTCCAGTGAACAAGCAGCTGAGATACTAATGGCAACAGCCAGAAATTTGCCCTTTCTAATCAAGAAAGATGCTCAAGATGAGGTAAATGTAACCTGAAGAAAAAAATATGGTGATGGTGATGATGTCACGTGCCTCACATAAAGCAGCTGTGGGTGGCTAGAACAATAAAAACATCAAAACAAAATACAAAAATAAAAACTAATGAGAAGAAAGTCCACAGAAGTCAAATAACAAATTCACACAACTCATGATTCAACCACCTCCTGACCCCTGTGTCTGAGAGAAAAGCCAGATCTTGCGGAAGGCCCACAGGCTTGAGACTGATCTAATTTTTGGAGGAATGGTGTCATTGAAGTATTTTTCCATAACAAATTGTTCAGATGTTTGGGATAAGCTTTGTGTCCCCTGGATATTTTAGATTACAACTTCCATAATCATTGCTATCCAAGAAAATTCTGTCCCAGACATCTAAAGGACACCATTGTGGTTATTCATAATCCTGAATTTTATCATTCAGAAATTTCTTTGTGCATTTTCAGGTATTCTCTTGAGAAATGAAAAGAAACTTTCTGTATTTTAGATTTGTTGTTACTGAGAATTTACTGAGATGTTTCACTGTTATAATACGTACATCGAAATAATAGTTGGACTTATATTTGAATGAAACTACCTAGAATATTTGTATTAAATATACTATTAAAGCTTTTGAGCTCATTTAATCCAGAAGGACTGTAGTCCAAAAGATAGCTACCCATGAAAGTGGCAGGATTCATTAATGACATTGGTTTGAATGAAAATTTAATAACCTTGCTATAATTTCATTTCATTTGTAATATAGTTTAATTTTCCAGTAACCACTTCCACTGAAATTTACTGTTTATTTACCATTGTTTAGCAAATAAAAATGTGTCATGATTTCTACTAGATTAAAAAAAATTAGAAATCGCTGTGGTACTCTAGATTTGTTCCAGGCCATCTCTTTGTGTGGTGTGTGTATTGTCTAAGTAACATGTGTTTTTAACA